TGGTTTTTTTAGAGTTTTATCCTTTTGCCGTTTTGTGAGTGTGTTGTTGTGTTGTTTTTCATTTTGAGTAGATATGTTTGTACCTTGTGGGTTGTGTTATGGGCATGGGAATTTTGGTTAAGTTTCGTTGGGGTTTTTTGAGTTTTGTTGTTTTGCCGTTTTGTGAGTGTGTTGTTGTGTTGTTTTTCATTTTGAGTAGAGATGTTTGTACCTTGTGGGTTGTGTTATGGGCATGGGAATTTTGGTTAAGTTTCGTTGGGGGGATTTTTGAGTTTTGTTGTTTTGCCGTTTTGTGAGTGTGTTGTTGTGTTGTTTTTCATTTTGAGTAGATATGTTTGTACCTTGTGGGTTGTGTTATGGGCATGGGAATTTTGGTTAAGTTTCGTTGGGTTTTTTTTAGTTTTATTCTTTTGCCGTTTTGTGAGTGTGTTGTTGTGTTGTTTTTCATTTTGAGTAGATATGTTTGTACCTTGTGGGTTGTGTTATGGGCATGGGAATTTTGGTTAAGTTTCGTTGGGGGTTTTTGAGTTTTGTTGTTTTGCCGTTTTGTGAGTGTGTTGTTGTGTTGTTTTTCATTTTGAGTAGATATGTTTGTACCTTGTGGGTTGTGTTATGGGCATGGGAATTTTGGTTAAGTTTCGTTGGGGGGTTTTTGAGTTTTGTTTCCTCGTTGGATGCCCCTAACAAATTTATATATATAGATGTCAGAAGCAAACCGAGGGTACAGTTGTAATGTATTTAAAAACACATTATACTAAATGTCCTTTGACCAGTAGCTGGCCATTTGGAGTGCCTCTGGTGTTGCTATAAGAAGGCCCTCCATTGTGCACGTGGCAGGGCTCAGACTGCATTGTAATAGGTGGTATTTGGTTTGCTCTTCTCCACATTCGCATGTTGTAGACTCCACTTTGTGGCCCCATTTCTTAAGGTTGGCTGTGCATCTCATGGTACTAGAGTACAGTCTGCTCAGCACCTTCCAAGCTGCCCAGTCTTCTGTGTGCCCAGGAGGGAGTCTGCCATTTGGTATCAGCCATGGCTTGAGGTTCCAGGTTTTAGCCTGCCGCTTTTGGATTCTCACTTGCTGAGGTGTTCCTGCCAGTATCTCTGTAGATCTTAGAAAACTATTTCTTGGTTTAAGGCGCAGGCATGCTGGCTGATATCCGAACAGGGGATGGGCCGGAGATGTCACTGCCTTGTTGGCTACTATTTCCCAGCGGATGTCAGGTGGTGAAATACTGGCTAAACAGTATAATTTCTCCAGAGGTGTGGGTTGTAGACATCCTGTGATAATGCGGCATGTCTCATTAAGAGCCACATCCACTGTTTCAGCGTAGTGAGATGTGTTCCACACTGGGTTTGCGTACTCAGCAGCAGAGTAGCAAAGTGCAAGGGCAGATGTCCTCACTGTGTCTGGTTGTGATCCCCGGGTTGTGCCAATCAGCTTTCATATGATATTATTTCTAGCAGCCAGTTTTTTCTTTATAGCCAAGCACTACTTCTTGTAAGCCAGAGCACGGTCCAGGGTAACTCCCAGGTATTTGGGTGCACTGCTATGCTCCAGTGGGATTCCTTCCAAGGTAATCCTCAGAGTTCGAGATGCTTGTCAGTTCTTAAAGTGAAAAGCACATGTCTGTGTTTTAGATGGATTAGGAATAAGCTGGTTTTCCCTGTAATAGGCAGTAAGAGCACCTAAAGCTATTCAGGAAATGTGTACTTGTGTTTGTGTGTGTGTGTGTGTGTGTGTGTGTGTGTGTGTGTGTACACCTTGAATACTGTGTCCAATTCTGGGCATGGCAATTGAAGGGAGATGTCAACAAGTTGGAACGTGTCCAGAGGAGGGCAACTAAAATTATCAATGGTCTGGAGAACAAGCCCTATGTGGAGTGGCTTAAAGAGCTGGGCATATTTAGCCTGAAAAAGAGAAGGCTGAGAGAAGACATGATGGCCATGTATAAATATGTGAAGGGAAGTCATAGGGAGGGGGTGCTTTGAAGGCGATTTTCCTGCTTCTTGGCAGGGGGTTGGACTGAATGGCCCACAAGGTCTCTTCCAACTCTATGATTCTATGTGAGTGTATGTGTGTATGTAAATATATATATATATGTGTGTGTGTGTGTATGTCTCTCTTTCTGTGTCTCTGTGTGTCACTCTCTGTATATATACATATATATGTATGTGTGTGTATGTCTCTCTGTGTGCATATATATGTGTGTGTGTCACTCTGTATATATACATATATGTATATGTGTATATGTCTGTGTATATGCGCGTCACTCTCTGTATATATACATATATGTATATGTGTGTATGTCAGTGTGTGTGTGTATATATATATACTGTATATGCACGTCACTCTCTGTGTATATACATATATGTATATGTGTGTATGTCTCTGTGTGTGTATATATATACTGTATATGTGTGTCACTCTCTGTATGTATACATATATGTATATGTGTGTATATCTGTATGTGAACATATATATGCGAGTCACTCTCTATATCTACAGTATACATATATGTCTATGTGTGTATATAAATACATATGTCTCTCTCTGTGTGCTAGAGACATATGTATGGGTCTCTCTCTTCTCTCTGTGTGTATATATACATACACAGAGAGAGAGACATATATATATATGCGACCACTTGCTCAGCTGGTTCGAGGTTTTGGGCTGGAGTGTTACCAGTACGCCAATGACACTCAGCTGGTGCTGAAGATGGAAGGCCGACCGGACTCTGTACCCGATTGTTTCCATCAGTGCCTCGAGGCTGTTACTGGCTGGCTGCGTGCTAGCAGGTTGAGGGTGAATCCAGCAAAGACGGAGATCCTATGGCTGGGTCAACCCAGCAGTGGGGACATCCAGCTGCCTACCCTGGATGGCGAGGCGCTACGCCCGTCATAATTGGTAAAGAGTCTGGGAGTCCTTTTGGACCCTCTGCTGACGATGGAGGCCCAGGTCTCCGCCATTAGCAGAACTGCCTTTTTTCATCTGCGGCAGGCTAGACGGCTGGCCCCCTACCTGTCCAGGGACGACCTAGCTATGGTGATCCAGGCCACGGTCATCTCAAGACTGGACTACTGTAACGCCCTCTACATTGGCCTTCCTCTGTCGGTGATCCGGAAGCTCAAGTTGGTACAAAATGCAGCTGCTTGGCTTCTTGCGGAAATTCCGATGAGATGCCACATAACACCAATCTTACTGCAGCTGCATTGATTACCAATTGAGCACCGGATCACTTTCAAAGTGATGGCACTCACCTTTAAGACCTTGCATGGTCTGGGGCCGATGTACCTGAGGGACCGCCTCATTCCTGACCAACCCCAGAGATCCCTCCATTCTGAGGACCAAGATCTATTGGAAGTCCCCAGTGTCAAGACCTTGCGTCTAACAGCAACCAGACGCAGAGCCTTCACAGCAGTGGCACCATCACTCTGGAATACTCTGCCACCTGAAGTCCGTGCCTTGGGGACTTACCAGCTTTCCACAGGGGATGTAACATCAAGTTTGCAGACGACACCAAATTGGGAGGGATAACCAATACTCCAGAGGACAGGAGCAGGATTCAAAACGATCTTGACAGCTTAGAGAGATGGGCCAAAACTAACAAAATGAAGTTCAACAGTGACAAATGCAAGATACTCCACTTTGGCAGGAAAAACGAAATGCAAAGATACAGAATGGGGGATGCCTGGCTCGAGAGTAGTACGTGTGAAAAAGATCTTGGAGTCCTCATGGACAACAAGTTAAACATGAGCCAACAATGTGATGTGGCGGCAAAAAAAGCCAATGGGATTTTGGCCTGCATCAATAGGAGCAGAGTGTCTAGATCTAAGGAAGTAATGCTACCCCTCTATTCTGCTTTGGTTAGACCACACCTGGAATATTGTGTCCAATTCTGGGCACCACAATTCAAGAGAGATATTGACAAGCTGGAATGTGTCCAGAGGAGGGCAACTAAAATGATCAAGGGTCTGGAGAACAAGCCCTATGAGGAGCGGCTTAAGGAGCTGGGCATGTTTAGCCTGAAGAAGAGAAGGCTGAGAGGAGACATGATAGCCATGTATAAATATGTGAGAGGAAGCCACAGGGAGGAGGGAGCAAGCTTGTTTTCTGCTTCCTTGGAGACTAGGACGCGGAACAATGGCTTCAAACTACAAGAAAGGAGATTCCATCTGAACATTAGGAAGAACTTCCTGACTGTGAGAGCCATTCAGCAGTGGAACTCTCTGCCCCGGAGTGTGGTGGAGGCTCCTTCTTTGGAAGCTTTTAAGCAGAGGCTGGATGGCCATCTGTCAGGGGTGATTTGAATGCAATATTCCTGCTTCTTGGCAGGGGGTTGGACTGGATGGCCCATGAGGTCTCTTCCAACTCTTTGATTCTATGATTCTATGTAAGACATACCTGTTTCGACAGGCCTTTGATCTCTGAGATTGTTGTTTTAAATTGTTTTTAAATTGTTTTAAATTGTTTTTAAATTGTGTTAGAATTTACCCTGTTCTTGAAAGCCGCTCCGAGCCCCAGGGGAGTGGCGGCATCTAAGTTTGAATTATAAATAAATAATATATATATATATATATAGAGAGAGAGAGAGAGAGAGAGAAGGAGCTGGGGGTGGCGACGGCCGACAGGGAGCTCTGGCGGGGGCTGGTCCATGAGGTCACGAAGAGTCGGAGACGACTGAACGAACGAATGAACAACAACAGAGAGAGAGAGAGAGAGAGAGAGAGCACCTACCCTTCCCTATAACAGTGGCCCCCTTTCCCCAGACTCGGCACGGCTTGCCCCCTTTACGGCCTCCCGGGTGGCGTTGCCCCTTTAAGAGCGCGCCGCCCTGCCTCCCTCCCTGCCTCCCTCTCTTCCCCTGCTCTTCCAATGGGCTGCTCGGCGCAGGTACGGGCGCCCTCTAGAGGCGAAAGTCCCGCAGCGCCGAGGCGGAGCGGCTGCAGCAGCGGCAGCGTCAATCGCAGCAGCAGCAGGAGAAGCAGCAGCAGCAGCAGCGCCCTCCCTCCCTCCTGGCCGCGCGTGTCTCCGCCTGCTTCTCTCTCTCTCTCTCTCTCTCTCTTTGCGCGCGAGGCGGGCGCCCCCAGGACGGGCATTCCTGCTTCCTTCTCTCCTTCGTTGTGGATGCTGCGGGGCGAGAGAGAGGCGCCGAGGAGCCCCGCGTGCCCACCGGGGCCAGGATGGCGAGGAGCCCGGGTCCCAGGCTGTAAGTCGCGCCGCCCAACTTTCCCTCTCTTTCCTCGGGTCGGGCTTGGGCTGGGAAGAAGCAGCAGGGATTGCGCAGAGAAAGAGGGAGAAGCAGGCAAGAACGTGGCCGGAGGACGGAGCCCAGTGCCTTTCCCTTCCTTTCCCCTCGCCTCCTTCCCTCCCTTCCTTTCCCCTTCTCTCCCTCCGCACCCGACTCCTTCTTTCCTTTGTCCAGCTTGGCTCCGGAATAGTTGGGAGGGGGGGGGGGTCCAGCCCTGCTTGCCTTTGCTTGGCTAGGGAGGGAGGGAGGGAGGGAGGCGAGGATTGCTTTTGGTGTTGTCCAAGGCTCTCATGGCCGGAATCACTAGGTTGCTGTAAGTTTTCCGGGCTGGATGGCCATATTCTCCTGACGTTTCGCCTGCATCCTCAGGGGTTGTGAGGTCTGACTTCTCTCTGGGTGGCAAGCGGGGTCGAAGAGCGGAGTTTGCCGTTTGGGTGTGAGTGTGTGTGTGTATTTGCGTGGCTGGCTCCACACTGGCCCTCTAATGCGGATCCAAACTGCATTGTGTGGCACTCTAGGTCTTGGATTGTGAGTCCTCTGTGTTGGGAGGATCATAAAGTCAGGAAAAAGAGAGATCGAGAGAGAGGATTGGATTGGGACAGAGGCTCCCCGCTTGGCCAAAAGGGCGAGAGAAAGGGAAGAGGAAGCTGCATTCCTTTGGAAGCCGGACGCCTCTTTCCCTCGTGGAAAAAAAAGAAAGAACAACCCTCCCTTTCCCGAGGAAGCAGCCAGCCTTGGAGAGAGAGAGAGAAAGAAGAGAAGAGAAGAGAAGAAGGGCTTTGGCTCCGATTCCACAGGAAGAGAAGCGGGAAATCAGGGCGTGTGTCGCCGCCTTTGCATCCGCGTGGAAAGGGCTGGGAAGGCGAGCCGCGTGGGAAGGGAAGAGGAGGGCGAGGGGACCTCCTGCTCGGAAAGCGCGCAGGGACCGTCCACAGATGGAGAAGCGAGGCGGATCGACCCCACTTTGAGGTGCCTCCTTGGCTCCATGCGGTGGAATCCCCGGGCTTTGCAGTTTGGGGCGCTCTTTTGTCAGAGACCTTGCAGTGGTGCCCCCCAAATGCATTCATTCATCCCTTCTCCAGGGGGGAGAGAGAGGCCCCCAAAGGACGAGAAGGAAGAAGGACCGCCTCTTCATGCTCTCTTCCTCCATGTCCGCCCCAGAGAAGGGCGATGTGGTGGAAGGGAGGCGGGACCGCCTGCCACAGGCTGCCTTCTCTTCCTTCCTTCTCTCCTTCCTCCCTTCCTTCCTTCCCTCCTCCTCCTTTCCATCCTCCCCCTTCCTTCTCCCTCCCTCCCTTCTCCTTCCTTCCTTCCCCCTTCCTTCCTTCTTCTGTAGTTCTTCCTCCCTTCCTTCCCTTTTCCTTCCTTTCCCCCTCCCTCTCCTTCCCGTCCTTCTCCCTCTCTCCCTTCCCCTTTCCTACTCCCTTCCTTCCTCTTTCCTTCCTTCCCCTTTTTCCTTCTCCCTCCTCCTCCCTTCCTTCCTTCTTCCTTCCTTCCTCCCTTCCTTCCCCTTCCTTCCTTCCCTTCCCCTCCCTCCTTCCCTCCCTCCCTTCCCCTTTCCTTCCTTCTTCCTTCCCTCTCTCCCTTCCTTCCCCCTTCCTTCTCTCCCTTCCTTCCCCTTTCCTTCCTTCTTCCTTCCCTCTCCCTCCTTCCCTTCCTTCTCCCTTCCTTCTCCCTCCCTCCCTCTTTCCTTCCCTTCCTCCCTTCCTCTCCTTCCCCCTTCCTTCTCCCTCCCCTTTCTTCTTTCCTTCTTCTGCAGCCTCCCTTCTTTCCTTCCTTCTCCCCCCCTTCCTTCCCCTTCTTCCTTCTCCTCCCTTCCCTTCTCCCTTCCTTCTCCCTTCCTTCTTTCCTTCCTTCTTCTGAAGTCCTTCCTTCTTCCTCCCTCCCTCCCTTCCTCTTCCTTCCCCCTTCTTCCGCAGTCCATCCTTCCTCCCTCTCGCCTGCTTTGACGTGGGGTTTGGCCAGGAGGGGATTCTGCTCTGGAATCCAGATTCTTGCCAGCCTCCGCCTCTTCCTATTCTCTCTCTCTCTCTCAAGGGTTTGGTCACCGAGGAAGGAGGGAGAGTGGCTTGGAGGGTGTGCTCTGTTTTGCCCCCTTGCCTCCCCCAGAATGACTCCACATGCCACATTTGCACCAACTGGGCACCTGAGTTGGATGCCACTGCTTCTTCACACACACACATCAATCCTTAGAGGGAATTAGAAAGGAGGGTGCACTTGGATCGGAGGCACCCCAGGCCCAGTGGATGTAACCCCCCTTCCAGTCTCCGAGACCGATGTGACAACCTGTACCCCCCCTTTTACCCCCTCTGCCTATCCCAGGTCAGTTCTCTCTCTTTTGTCCACCCTGCCAGGCCCTGAGACAGATCTGACAATCTGGACCTCTCCCTTTCCCCTGTTTTTTCACCTGACTTGCCCAGTGGCTCCCCTTTTTATCCCAAACCAGTCTCCCCCCCCCTTCGCAAATTACCCAGAGTTGGAGAACTTTGCCTGGGCGTGCAGAAGCTCCCCAGGTGCCTCCCCATCAGAGAACTCTCTCATCGGCAGTCTCTCCCTAAATAAGAGGGGTCCTGGCAAACCTTTCCGCCTCGGAGCTGTGCCCCGATTGATTTCTGTCCAACCTGTTGGAGAGTTCCCCTCTTCATATACTCATAGAAGCATGAAAAGAGACCCCAAGGGCCATCCAGTCCAACCCCATCCTTTTTTTTCCATTTCAAAAAACTGCAAGTCTCTTCTGGTGTTAGACACTTGGCAGTCTGCAAGGATGTTGCCCAAAGGACATCTGGGTGTTTTACCGTCCTGTGGGAGGCTTCTTTCATGTCCCCACATGGGAAGCTGGAGCTGACAGATGAGAGCCCTTCCTTCTCTCTCCCTTCCTTCCCCTTCCTTCCTTCCTTCCCTCCCTCCCTCCCTCTCCATCCCTCCTTCCCTTCGCCTTTCCTTCTCCCTCCCTCCCTTTCCCTTTCCTTCCTTCCCCCTTCCTTCTCCCTTCCTCCTCCCTCCCTTCCTCCCTTCCTTCCTTCCTTCTCCCTTCCTTATTTCCCAGATGTTTTGTTATCCTTTGGGATCTTCTCTCATGTCCTCATGTGGGAAGCTGGAGCTGACAGATGGGAGCTCACCCTGCTCCCTGGATTCGAACCACCAACCTTTCAGTCAACAGTCTTGCTGGCAGAAGGATTGAACCCAGCGCACCCCCGGGGGCTTCTAATCCCATCCTTCCATGCAGAAGACACACAATCAAAGCACCCAGGTCTTCTTTCTAATGTATAGGTGGAATCTGTTTTCCTTTCCCTGCCCTCTTTTTGAGGGGAAACTGCTGTTGCCGCCTTGCATTTCCTTGCTCTTTGGCTGAACCAACTCACCACCTATCTTTCCCTTTCTGGTATTTGGGGCTCTGGTTGGAATTGGGGTGGTGGCTGCTTGGAAAAGGGGAGTCTAATGAGCACAATAGTGCCCCCCCATCCCCCCTATTTTATCCCGCCTCTCTCCCTCGTATAGGGACTCAAGGCTGCTAACGGCAAACATGACACAATACAATTCAATCAGAGCCAGTGCATTAAAATAAAATGCAAAAATGTTTTTTTTTAAAAAAACGACTCAGTCTTTTGTGTCGTGGGATCTGTCCCCATTCAGTCACACAGAGGAAGAGGGAGGGAGTTTGCGTGGCACCGGCAACGGTGTGCAGATTTCTGCACAGTGCCTGGATGAAACGCAGAGTGCCATTGGAAGGGTTATTCATTCATGAATTATTCTCGCTGATTACGCCGTAGTTTAGGAGAAGGGTTCGGATGCTGTGCCACCCAACAGCAAGCCTCCTTGCGCAGATGATTAAATATAGCGCTACGGAGGGAATAAAAGAGGCTGTGGAGTGTGTGTGCGCGTGTGTGTAGGTGGTTAGTCATAATGCATATGGATAAGCTTCCCAGGTAAACAAATGGGTGATTGTAAACCATTCGGAACCCTTTTCGGAAAGGCAGGGCACATGTCTAAATAACTAATAAATATTTCACATTAAAAGAAAAGAGAGGACGAAAGACATTAATGCGGAGTGTAGCCAAACCAGCTCTCGCTTGCTGTGTTTGCCTTTCAGAATTGCTTTCCTGGAATCACTGTGCTAGTAATTGTGGCATGGTATGTGCAGTATGGGAAAGAGAGAGAGGTGTAGATATGACATCTGTGGTTAATACGCACAGGTGTGGCTCTGATATGTTTGAATGGAGGGCTTTGCTTGGCATGTCTTTGGATGTGAACTGGGTCTTGTTGATAAAGGAATTTTTTATTCTCCCCCCTCTTCATTTAATTTCAATATATATGCCTTCCGCCCATTGAAACTGCCTCATCACCATAGCAGTGTGCTTATACATTCAGACTGAGGCGGCACTCCTGTGTGCAGTTACCTGAACGCTCGGTGGAGCTTGCTTTCTGAATAGACAGCTTTCAGATTGTACTGTGGGCTTTAGATTCGGAGGGCTTGTGGGGCAAAGGGGTATAATTTACATGCAATTAGGGATTGGGTAAACGAGAGAAAGGCACAGCATTTAACCTCCCAAGTTAAAGCTCCCATTTCTCCCCCTGACCACATGCTTTGAAGTGCATCCTCTTCAATATTCTACCAATTAGCATTTACAATCACCCTTTTAGAGACTCAGCAGGAAAGAAAAGTTCAGATTATACCAGTGTTTCTCAACCTTCCTAATGCCGTGACCCCTTAATACAGTTCCTCAAGTTGGCGTGACCCCCAGCCATGAAATTATTTTCGTCGCTGCTTCCATAACTGTAATTTTGCTACTGTTATGCTATGTTATGCTATGTAAATCTCTAATATGCAGGATGTATTTTCATTCACTGGACCAAATTTGGCACAAATACCCGATACGCCCAAAACTGAATACTGGTGGGGTTGGAGGGAGGATTGATTTTGTCATTTGGGAGTTGTAGTTGCCGGGATTTATAGTTCA